GTTTCACCATGTTGACCAGGATGGTCTCGATCTCTTGACCTCGTGATCCACCCGCCTCGGCCTCCCAAAGTGCTGGGATTACAGGCGTGAGCCACCGCGCCCGGCCACAGCTAACATCTTTCTTAGGGTTCTTTGATCATAAGCAACAGAGGAAGTCTGAATAAGTATAGCAAATAATAATAATAATAGCAATAATAAAAAGATAAGAAGTGGACCACATATTTGAAGGAGAAAGTGAAGTACCAGGCCTTAAGGGGGGCAGTGATCAAGGCAGCTATAATGATAGAGGGGCAGAAAGTAAAGAACTGTTCTTTGGGGCACCATCCTCATGATGAATCACTCTCTGCTGGTATCTTCCTTTAAATTACTTGGGAAAAAAATCTGATTTTCAAGCTTAGGCCAGGTGTCTCACCTCTTCTCTCCCCGACCCCTGACAGGGAAGGGTAGTGGCATCAAGAGCAGGGAATCTTGATGGAGACACCATCAAGGCTTCATGCAATGTAAAGGGACAATTTACCAAACGAAAATTGAGGAGCAAGTAAAAATACTAGAAACCCACCATATTCCCATCATTGCAAGTGCAGGAGAAAGCCACCTATTTTTCAGCAATCTTCTATGCTGGTTGTTGGAAAAGGCAATTTAGAAAGGGGTCTTCCCTTTCTGTTCTATGTTTCTGAAGAGAAATTGAGAGGTGGAATTGATTACTGAGATCCAGGGTCATTAGGAAAGGCCTAGTGAGGAATAGCTGGGGCTGGATGTGAGGGAAGGATGGGACGCAGCTAACAGGGGAGTAAGCCACAAAGCAGGCATGGTAGTTCAGAGCACTAATCAGAAAAGGAAGATAAGAAGCTCCTGGCATTGGTCACCTCAAACTTGATATATTTAAATTAGAAGCTACCAGTTTTCTTCTGTTCCATGACATGGTTACAGATAGAGAAATGGAAGAAGTAAGATGTGGTAAGTTAGTAAATGAAGAAGACACAGGAACTCCTGTCTCTCCAGACCTCCTGGTAGAGTGAGATGCTATTTGGAGAATTTAAGGAATGGATGATGATCCTAATGACAAGGGACCTGCCAGCCTTAATAGTTAACCAGTGGAGCTATATAACAGAACTGAGTCACAGTCCTAAAATTCTGAATTTGATGTCTGTGAAACAAAGCAATTAATGAAGGAAACAAAAGCAATCACTGGCCACTAGTGACCTCTAGTGGAAGTAGGCTTTAGGGAACTTAAATGATCTTTGATTTCTGTTTTGTTTTGTTTTCCTATTAAGAAGATGAAAATCAGTGTTTTTCGCCAATTTATTTGCAGAGGAGTGTGAAGGAAGGAGCTTCTGAAAATAGGACAAAAATCCTACCCAGAAAATGAAAATGTACCAGGAACACGTTGGGCTTTGAGTCAGACTAAGTTAAATAATGTTCTGGAAAAGATGTGGATGAGTAATTGTCGTCAAAGCATTACCTGAGAAAAGAAGAGCTTTTGTTCAGTGACTTCATTGGTCACTGAGGAGAGTTTGGCATATTAATGGCAGCCAGCAAGAGAAAATAGGCTTGAAGAGGAGGCTGCATGTGTTGCCAGGATACCTTTTAAACATCTCTTCTTTGTAACATGGAAGAGCGCTATTGTTTCTGAGATATGCATACACTTGCCAATTCAGTATTGTATGGCTTGAGTCCCACCACTTTCCTTTTCCCAGTGGGTGTCTGTGCCAAGTACTGGCAAACACTGCTGAGCTGGGAGGATGTGGGCAGATGCCTGGTGACCTTAGGCATTTGAAGTGAGACCAGCCTCATAGAGGGTCCAAGTGCAATCAAGAAGGTCAACATCAAACCACACGGGGCACTCCACATCCATATCCTTTGGGAAGTGCTTTCAGAATATACAGTCTTGACATTGAAGAGAAGCAAAGGAATGCAAAGATTGATGGGAGGTTTTATATCTGTCTGATCACACTGGGGACTAATAATGGGTGGGTAGAATTAAATGGCAGGTCCCAGGGGCAGGGGTGTGGGTGGGTAGAAAAAGAAGCAAGGGAAAGATAAAAAATAGAGACAATACAGAAATAAGCAGAATCAGCTTATCAAGCCCTGGGCAACTGTCACTTCTGGCAGCAGAGCGATCGTTGTCCTTGTCTCATATTACCTGCGTGACAGGAGGTGTCATCCTGCCTTCTTTCATTATTCAGCCTCTCCCACATACCCTGCTCTTGTTTACTGATGCTATTGTGCTGCTCTGCAGGCCTGCTTTTCCCCTGAATTTGCTCTCTCTCCTCTCAGTGTCATTTCAAGGATATAAAAATAGCCCCTAAATAATATTTTTGTGAGAATTCCATGCTGGTCTGCAATGTTCAGAATTCTAGTCTTTGTGTGTGGGCAAAAGATGATCTAACTGCTCCCTAAGCCATGACTTCCCTACTGTTATTTCTTAGATGCCAACAAAACCACAAAGCAGAGTTAAGGGAGACCAATATTAGTGGTATTTCCTCTTTCCTCTGCAAAGATCCTTCTGCCAGGATATATACAAATCTCTAACTCTAGGATAGGCCATTTCAGAGATGTAGTCTATAAAACAGTTTACTTACTGAAGATGAGCTAATTATCTTAATTTGCTCCAAAGCTTCTGTCAGGCTGTCTTCAATCTCAGAGTCATCTAAGGAGAAGAGGTCCCCAGCTCGTGAGAGATCTTTTTGTCCCAAAACCAGTCTGAAAAGTTGATGCATGGCGAGGAGGAGTTTGATCAGTTGACTTTCTACAGACTCAGAGCCATGTGTTTCAGTTATCAGAGGTCAGTAAGACAAAAACACGTAGCAGGAGGTATATTTTGTATTCCATGAAAGGTCATTTTTCTCCAGACTTTGAGGTCTTCATTGACACTCTCTGCAAGGGAAACAAATGACACAATATAGCCACTAGCAGAATGGCATAAGCTCAGAATGTGAACCTGGTGTCCAGCAGAGAGAGAGAGAGAAAAAAGAAACTTGGAAACATGTGCCTAGAGTAACAGATCCTGGCTTAATCATCTTTAAATGAGCTCTTTCTTTGTTTTTGTCTCAAAAAGTCTTGTCAAAAATTACTAGGTTTCTCCAGAATTTAATTTGAACTTTAAAAGTCAACATGAGCCTCATTTTCTCCTTTCTACATCCTTCTCTTCTCTCCATGTCACAAGGACAAGCAACAATCATGCCTAATACTTGCCAGATTTTCCTCAAGCAGATTCTCATCGGAATCAAACAGAAAGGGAGAACAAAAGAAAAGAAGGAGCATAGGAAACACCACCGAGACCCACTTCCTGGAACCCTGTCTTCCAGAACCAGGATAAAGAAACCAGTGCTTACCCTCTTGGTTGGGCTGCTTCGCTATGCTAGCAGTAGAAGTTCCCCCCTCCATCAGTTGAAAAGGTGACCTCAGTACTTACCCTACTCCTATGTATTCTATAATCAAATAGCAATGAAATAAAGGATGCTGCTTAGGAGAGTGGGGTTAGATAAATCTCTACTGAATGTGAAGATGAACTTGATCACTGAAATTGAACATGATAGCCTTGCCATGCAGGCTAAAGAGGAGGGCTTTGAGATGAGGCAACCTTCCCTCTATTCCCACAGTTGAAATAATAAAGTCCCACTATATTTCTCACCCAATTAACAGTTTACAGAGAGTAGGGCAATGGCACAAATTAGACATCTGATTATTCTCATCAGCTCTCTTCTGGGCCTAATATAATCACAGACCATTTGCACTAGTAGAGATCTTAGTAATCATTTAATGGCCAGTGAGGTTTAATGACTTCCCTAAGGCCCCATAATAGCTGTGGCAAGGCTAGTCTCCTGATTTCAGTCCAGTGGACTTCCCTCACAGTTTACAGTAGAGTGGAATAACCTTATACATATACAAATGCAGCCACATGATTAGATAGTGAGAGCCAAGAGTGAGTTATTTAATATAAGCAATAGGCAATTCTGCCTAGCATTTTACTCTGAATGTGTTTGCCAGAAAGAGTGTGAAAAGGGAGAGGAGAGTCTATTGTTCCCTTGGGTAGTCTCAGACCTCTCCTCTGAGCTATTGCTGTGAGAGCATCTCTTTGTGTTGAGTGCAAGTTTAAAGACACAAAGGCTTCATACAACATGGCCTCTAAATACAAGCCAAATCTTTCATAAGACACTCAACTAAATAAGCAATCTGTAGTATTCTAAGTGGTACAATTCATGGGCCATAGGGATTTCAAGGGCAATAGTGCCTATATGCTGTTTTTATACTATCTAACAACTTTTGAAAAATGATGCCTGATACTTACATACCTTTATCTATGTACCAGGCATAAACACTTTGTAAATATTAATTCATTTAATCCTCATAACTATATGAAGATATATCAACCTCCCTTTATAGGTAAGCAACCTGAGGTAGTCAAATAACTGCTAAAGCCATGTAACTACCAAGCTGCAGAGATGGAATTTGAACCCAGAGACTCCAGTAGTGCTAGACTCCGAGTTCATAACCATTATGAAATATTGACTCCATGTAAGATGTGAGGCTACTGTTAGGAGTAAAGGTCCTCTGAGCATTATTAATATTTAGTGATGAAGGTGTGAGCATAGTTATCAAGCAAGAAAATTAATTCTTCTTCCCTCCTACACAGTTCCTGGATCCTTGCCCATCTGTGCCCTGGGATTTAGAGCAACCAGAGAGCAAGAAGAGGAGATGCTTGGAGGAAGAGCAAAGGAGAGTGGTAAGCTTTCAGAGAGAAGTGGAGCACAGAGTGAGGTACAGCAAAGCAGTTTGCAATCTGGCAAATGTGGAAGGATGAATCACAATATCTATAAGAAAAATCAGCACAGCATTTTCCTACATTTTTCTCTTAACACAATTTCCTCCCAGGTTCAGACATTTACAGTGACAAGAGTCTCAATAAAATAATACTCAGGAAAGGTGGATGGAAATGACTTCACCTGACCCATCAGCTTGTTGGACATCCAGCATTCCATGAAATAGGTTTAGCTGCCCCAGCCATAGATGCTCAGGAGCTCCAAGAAGGAGCAGAAATACGTGCTAGTATAGAAGGGCACCCCCAAGCTTTGCCTGGGCTCTTTCTGCACGCTCCACATTTACATGACACCTGGTGTGGAGTCCCACATTTATGCTTCCAACATCAGCTCCTACTCTTGAGGGTACATTACATGCAAAACATTGCTTTGGGCCCTAAACAGAAACATCAAGTTATTTAGCACACAGCCATGCAGGAAAGCTTTCACAAATCTAGGGGTGGACTGGGGAGAGGTAATATTTGCACATTAGTTTACAAAGGGCTCTCTTGTGCATTTTCAGCTGTGATCTTCAAAACACATTCTACAACATGGGGATAACCAAGAGAAAAATCTCCTGGATAATACAAAAAGAAGTTTGGGGAAGTACAAGGGAGAGAGAAGTCACTTACAGTGGAAGATGATAATGATTAGCTTTATGGAGGAAATGGCATTTGAGAAGCACCTTTTAGGATAGCTAAGATTTTTATAGGGTTTTATTCAGTGCACCTTGTGCTGAGTTCATACTAAGTCATCTGCTCATCTAGAAACTGAGGATCAAGTCCCAGCTCAGCTACTCAGCTGCTGTGGGACCTTTAGTTCACATTTTTTTCCTTTCTTGAGGCTTGGTTTTCTTATCTGCAAAATGGGGTTAATGCACACCTAGTCTATTTCTCCAGGGTGTTTTGAGGGTCACAGGTGATAATGTGTAGACAATCCCTTTCTAAAATAATGACAAAACTGATATTTGGTGGGGGTTTGCCATATGTCAGGCACTTATCTCAGTGCTTCCCACATATTGAATTACTTAATTCTTATGACAACTCCATGCAATCAAAAACTGATGTTTAGAGAGGAAAGTAACCACCATCCCAGAGGCACCTGAAAGGTAAGTTTCAGAGTCAGGATTGAAGGCAGCTGGTCTCCCAGGATAGTTGTATTCATGACTGTGTGAGATTATTATTGAGCCACCTCCATTCTCATCAGCTCTCATTCAGTGAGTACCTCCACATGCTGCACGTCCCTTCCTAGATAAAGGCTGGCAAGGCATGTTATTTATTTTTCAGCAGCTCTCTTCAATATTTTGCTCAGGTGTCTGGCTTCTCCTGCTGGTCTTTTTGTAATAGCAGAATGGTCAGAGCCAGATCAAATTCTACCTCATGTTCTGAGAAACTCCCTATCCTTATGAATGTCATAGCCCTGTGGCCTGTGTGCATGTATACATATACATGCACCATCTACACACAAGCACACATATGTACACACATGCACATATGAGCACATAATTTCTAAACATCAACCTTTTTGCTAGACACTAGACACTTTCTTCTCTTGGTTCTCCCATCAGCCCTGCTGGTAGATATTATCACCTAAGAGGAAACAGGACGGGTGAGGTTAAGTGTTATGCCTAAAGTTACACACACAGCCAAGATTCACATGCAGGTAAGTCAGACTCCAAAGTCTCCTACTTTTTGTATGACTTTTAAAAACCGGCTTATAAAATTCTTTCTTACTGCCTTTAGTTTGCTTCCTTCATAATTTCTTTCTCTAATCTTTAAGTGGCTCTAATCGGAGGCCCACCTTCTCATTATTTAGGTTTTTTGTTTGTTTGTTTGTTTGTTTAACAGATATTGGCTGGCGAATCAGCTTTCTGTAAGGAGAAACAGAAACCACAGAAACAGAAATGACTGCGCCAAGCGTGGCACATTTCAGGGAGTCACAGCTACCCCGCGCAAACTCGCTTTACCTGCGTGCTACTCCTCAAAGGCGCCCTTGCAGTTACTCAGCGGCAAGGTTTGAGACTGGGCGGGAGATTCAGGCAGGCTCCGAGGCCACAGCGAGTGGAGTCCGCTCAGCTCAGTGAACCTGTAGTTGTTCATTGCGGAGCGGGTGCCGGGTGGAAGAATTCAAGGAATGCAGCCTGATGGCACCGGCGGCCCCAGAGACCGGTCAGGTGACAGGCTGCACCTCACCCAGCGGAGTCACCTCCCAGTGCAACGTTCTGTTTCCTGGGGCGAAACACAAAGCCTGCTCCAGTAAAGGAGAGTTGTTTTTAACAGAGAAAACAGAACTCCCTGTGTTCTTGAAAATCTATACTTTCCCAGGGAAGAATGGGGGCGGGGGCGAGCCACGCAGGAAACAGTTCTCAACAGGAACTCAAGCAGGTGAACCGAATGGCTGCAGGGAGCCACCCCTCAGAGCCCCAGGGGTGGAGCAGAGAACTGCAGCTTCATTAACACTTCCCTCTCCCTGAGATTTCACATAGGTTTTGGAAACACTGAGCGTTCGTCCAGTAGGAGTCAACTCCTAAAGAAAATATCCCTTTGCTCTGCCTCTAGAGTAATATTGTGAAAGTTTAAGTATGCGGGAAGTTGCTAATAAACAGAACAAACTTACTTCACAACATACATACTCTCTCTGTTTCCTTATTTGCTGGGAAGTTCTTCATAAAAATCCACGTGGACCAGATATGTTGGATTTGTACTTTTAAATATTGCAGCAACGCTCAGAAAAAAGGTTTATCCTGCTTAATCTATTGATACTCTGATGGAGAAAAGGGCACTGGAAACTTCCTTTAAACAGTTAACAGTGCACTTTAAAAAGGACAATTTTAAAGCCTGCATTCTTCTCTACCCCTAAGTCGTCTGTTCCTGTGGTAGATCTATAGCTGTCAAATCTTCTCTCTTCTGGCAATGCGTACAGGTGGCTATCATGCAGATAATCTTATCTTTGTGCTCACTAGGATGTGTCTATTCAAAGAGTGTGGTCAGGGTGACCACAGTTAAACCAGGTCATATGTTCCAGGAGAATGACCTCATAAATCTGCCTAGACACTTGGTGATCAATCATGTTTTTATGCCATCCACATTTGGAGAACTATCCCCTTGAAGAATTCCTGTATAAAAATCAAGAATCCAGTCATTTATGAGTAGCTGTATTTTTTCACTGGTAGTTTTCTAATTTACAAGATACTAATGAAGTCTCCTCTTTTAATGGAATAAATGCTATTGCCTTAGCCCTCCCTTTTAATCCTCTATTCATTATTACTGATTTTTAATTATTACATTTTTATGCAGTTTTCTTTCTTTCTTTTTTTTTTTAAAGTGTGTAGAGTCCGGAATTGAACATTCTATGGAACTCCGGTAAAAAGAGCAGAGTGATAAGAGTATGGGAATCTGGACTCAACTGGGTTCCAAGCTCAGCTATGCCATTACCTACAATGTAAATGTGGGCAGGTTAATTAGCCTTCCTGAGCCTCGAGTTCCTCCTTTGCTCCTGAGGATTTTGATATGGGTTGTTGGGAGGTTTCAGGAGATGATGTAAAACTTTTAACACAGAGCCTGGCATATGGCAACCACAGAAGAAGTGCCAGCAATCATATCCTTAGGAGTACTATTATTCCTCTAGATGGTCCACCAGTTAACACATCCCATGCCATACCTTTTAAAAACTAATACACTACTGTACTGTTCACTAAATTGAGTTCACAGAGCTAAAGATGCTTAGGTTGTTTCCATTTGTGCCATATTTATATCTTAGTTGTCCTTTCCCTATCTTAGTCATTCTGTCCTTAACCCTGGGTTGTTCACTTTTCATCTATAAACTTCAGTCTCTTGAATGTATCCCTGTTGATTTTTTGGCAACCTTATCTTGTTTCCTGGAGAGATAGCTTTACTGTGATCCTACCCCTGCCAAGGTTGAACAATAACAGTGAATGTTTTTATAGAGCAGAAATGGGCTGGGATACAATGTACCTCAAACTTTTTGTGGCGGGTAATCCAAACACCTGAGTTTTCCATGGAAGTGTAGCACTCCTTCCCTTGTTTATTAGTGAGAAAGGAGTGCCCCTTCAGGGCACCAGCTACTTTCTTTACAACTTTTAAGGTGATCTACACTCAATACCCACTAATAAAACATTAGTGGCTTACTCTATTATGCATCTGTAGATTCTGCTAAATAAAAATATACACGAACCAGAGGACTTAATTGCCACACTATTGGGATACTGCCTGTAGAATAATTGAAACTCTTGGGAGATATTTCAATCACCATAATTAACTCAAGAAACCAATTTATTCTGAAGAATTCAGCCTCTAGCTTGCAACTTAGGTTAGGATATTCCCTGGCTGTCCCACTTCAGAAAATTCCAGAAAGGCAAAATTTATTTACATTATGCTTTAGACTATGTTACTATGTATCAAAATATTTTTGTTTTATTCACCTGTATTAAAAAAATTCTCATTAACAAACTTAGACTTATTTCAGTTCTAGAAACTTTCAATAAAGTTCTCAGATTTTCTCTTGAAAGAAAGGATTAAAGATTCTTTTGAAGGAGCATCTTTTTCACACAGCGTGAAAGGACTACAGGCGTTCCCATGGGAATTGGCTGCATACATTTCAGCCCTTCCCACAAGATGTCTATTGTTCCCTGGACTTCTCAGGGCTTCCTTGGCTGTGACGCGCTGCTACACTTCACTTCTACTGAAAGCCTCTGAGGCTGACTTATTCCAAGCGATCCTAAAAGACTCAGCCCTGTCTTTTTGCTGGAGTGCATACAATCTAAGTTTGTAGCAAGCTTATTTCATAAGTATATTAAAAAGAAATAGGTTTGGTGACCTATTTAGGCAAGAGATCAAAAAGCTACTTAATTTTGATTACATATTTCAACGTATTAAAACACAAATAGGAAACACTTCCTTCCAGAAGAATGAGAAAATACTTATCTTCAAGTCTAATAAACTTTTTAAAATCAAGGCTGACTTGTCATAATTTTACACTGTATTTATTTTCACCTGTAGATTTTGACTTTGCAGGTCATTTTTGCTCTGGAATAATATAAACCTTGCTGAAAAATCCTAATTCAAATTCTGTGGGTTTGTTCCTTCAGAAAATGTACCAAAACTCTCAAACTACAAGGAAAACTCAATGTTAAGTGTATCTTCATTTATATTTAAGTTTACTTTACTAAATATCTTTATGGCCAACTTAAATAATTCTCTAAATTTTTTTTTGCTTTTTAAATTGAAAATATATAAATGTCATTTAATTCAATGGTTGACTACTATAGCAATTTAAGTATGTATCTGAAAGAACAAAAAAGTGGTTAGATTTAATTATGATTTTTAAGATATCTGAAACACCAAAGGAAAAAACAGCAGCAGCAGCCAACAGTAATGGTGACCCTGTTCAACCTACTGACTATAAAGATGCTACAGTATTTAATTTTATTTGAAAATTCATAGGCAGAGCCAGTTTCTTTGTTGGTTGCAAAATGTTGATTGAGGTAAACAAATGTATAAAATAGTAATATACAGACTAGATTACTATGGAGCAAAACAAAAATGCACATAATATGAATCTAGAAGCACAGTTTTCTGCTCCTGAGGCCTAGAGACATGTTTTAATAACCCACAGAGAAGTGGCTTTTTTACCCTAATAACCGAAATGCATGCATACATGGCTAGACACACAGCTCCCAAATGCGCTCTATCTGCATAATCAGCCAGCCCCTGGAAGTTTCTCAGCTCCATTCTCCTATCCCCACTCTGCCTCTCTGCAGCCTCTGACATTTACTTTAATTAGCTTTTGTTTTTGCTGAACAAAAGGACATGAAAGAAAATAGCCATACCTCTTTGCACGGGAATCTCTGGTCATAGAAAATAGAAGGCAAAATGCTTGATCTTTAGAGCACTGCGGCTGGGACCCATGACCATGCTCAGAGGCAGCCTTGCAGCTGCTACCCAGTCCTGTGGGCTGCAGCCGCGTCTCCCTGTGCTGCTTGTCAAGCCAGCGGTACACTTCATTCCCTCCCCATGGACTCAGCGTGCGGAATCAGGCAAATAAGTAACTTCTGTCTCTCCCAAACTTCTGCTTAGGCCTAATAATTGGCACAAAGCTTCACTTATTTTTACACGAGATTTGCAGATTTCTCTGAGCAGATCCGTAGCTTAAAAGAATTAGATTTGCCTAACAACCAGTAATTTAGGTTCTGTTAATGAATAACTCACTTTAAGAAATCAAGGAAGTTTTAGGTTAATATCAGATGTGGGGCCTTTTAGCAGGCATCAGAAAAAAGGCTTGGGGAAGGAATGGAGGAAGGGAAGCACTGGAATGAGATAATATTTAAGCCAAATATGATAGAAGAAAAATACCACAAGAGAAGCAAAAATGGCTAGTGTGAAGGAGCAAAAGTCTAATTATATTATTGGTATCGCTTACAAAACACAAAACAACTGAATGAAACTTCCCTGGTAGCACTAGGGATTTTTCTGAGCCCGCATGGTTCCTTCTTGCATCCACCCAAATTGCTAACTCCCTTCCTTTTACCATCCAAATATAGAACTCCTCTCTTCAGACCTAATTCATTGGGGATCCCTCACAAGCACTCCCACATTGCCTCATCTCTCTCTCTTTTAAGAAGAATGCACTTTAAAACCTCTAATGCATAAATTAATTGGTGGTGCCCAGTGGATTATTATATCTGGAGGCTCTTCTCTCCCTCTAAGTGTATGGCATGGGCTTTCTTCTCTTATTGATCTGAGGTTTTGCCTACACATGAGGTGATAAAACATTTCTGAGCCTCTTCCAACCAGAGCTTTCAATCAAACCATGTGAGTGTGGTGGGGGATTGTGGGTGGGGGGGAAGCTTGCAGTGGGGAGAGTCAGGTGTAAGGTGTACAAGTGGAAATATAAGTATTTCCATTCAGAGGTAATCATACTACATGTAAATAAATTGCTGGATAAATTAAAGGGACTACTCATGGGGTGAAGATTACTTTCCCCTGTGTTTGCCACTCAACATTCACTTGCTCAACTTCTAGTCAAAACTGCACCCAAATTCCCTTAGGAAACCATATCTTTTTGGGTAGAGTTGATGGCCACAAATAGGATGGGCCTTAATTGGTCTTAGCCAAATTAGAGTAATTGTATTCCCATAATTGTAATGACTAATGCAGGGGAGGTGTGTGACACCTTCCAGGCCAATGAGAGGACAACGATGAATGCTCAACTTTGGGAGAAAAAAGTCTAAGCTGCTCGGCTTGATGACAAGAAGGTATAAGGTCTGGCTGCTGTTGTCCTTTTGCCACCAAGAAAACTGTTGACTTCATTTTACCTGCCCCTAAAGCTAGCAAGATCTACCCTTCAGTATATTCTAATAAATTCCTTAACAGCTTAAGTAATTTTATTTTGGGTTTTCTGCCATTTACTATTAAAAACTTTCCACCTGACGGAATTGGCCTAACCTAGGTTCGTGGGAGGGCTCTCCTGGGTGCAGGAAACCTTTCTGAAGGTCAATTTGGCTTGTGAAAAATCTATAAAAATGTGCACCTTTGGATCCAGATATTCAATTTCTAGGACTCGGTTATAAAGACATTCATCACAGTGCTGCGAATGTCTTATAATAGCAAACAATGGAAAGGGAAAATTCTCGCCAAGACTTGAAGTCAGAGAAACGTGATAGGTCATACAGAAAGGAACAAGTCCATGGTCTGCTCACAGAAATGGCTCCAGGTGGAGAAGCAGTGGAGGAGTTTCACCTGATGACTCAGACTCAAGGGCCTAAGGATTTGGGTCCAGCTGTGGCTGATAGTGAAAGCCCTTCCTCTGAGGCTGAACATGTGACAGAGATCTAAGTAGCTGAGACCTTGGGACCAAGCCTGGGCACCACTGAGGCAGGGACCCAGACTTTGAAAGCTACAACCCTAGAGCAGTCTTGGTTAAGAGCCTGCACAACTAACTAGTCCTCAGTGACCCACAGTATGATATCTACAACACTGATAATTGTAGGCTTGGCAGACTCTCTCTCCAGCTGACATTTGGAAGCAAGACTAATCTAAACTGAGAAATCTCCAACTGGAGACAATGGAGACATGTTTAGCATAAAAGGAAAATAGTTTCTGATAATAAGGAGAAGTGAGAATGTGAACATTAATTAGAAAAATAAAATTGATGTGACCACATTTGCTCCCTAATACAGTGAAGTGGGACCAATAGGTTACATATTTATATCTTTTTTTTTTAAAAAAAAGATTATACTGAATAATATAATCTCTTTTCACATATGTTGCAAACATCTTTTCAGATTAATAATGTTTACCTATATCATTTAAATATAAAATAATATTCCATTGGCTAGGTGCTCACACCTGTAATCCCAGCTCTTTGGGAGGCTGACACGGGTGGGTCACCTGAGGTTGGGAGTTCGAGACCAACCTGACCAACACTGAGAAATCCCGTCTATGTTAAAAATACAAAAAAAAAAAAAAATTATCTGGGCGTGGTGGCGATGCCTGTAGTCCCAGCTACTCAGGAAGCTGAGGCAGGAGAATCACTTGAACTTGGGAGGTGGAGGTTGTAGTGAGCGGAGATTGTGCCATTGCACTCCAGCCTGGGCGACAAGAGCAAAACTCTGTCTCAAAATGATATAATAATAATAATCCATTTATATTCTATAATTCATTATATATTTTTTCATCTTAACCATGCTCCAACATTTGAATATTTTCTTTCTTCGTTTTGTTTTGTTTTGTTTTTAAAGAGAAATTGATCCATCTCTTATCAGGATGGCGTCTGCATTTCAAGGACTATTGTGAACAGTGGCTTTTTTAAGACCAGGAAAGTTTTCACAATACATTTCCAAGGACAATGAGAACATCTTCATTCTTCAGTACATAACTAAAAGAAAGAATCAAGTGACTCTTACCTGAAAAAAGCAGATCTGCTGTAAGATAACTAGCTTTATTCATAGGAGAGAAACAGGTTCTATTTTTTCATGGATAAATATCCAGATAGGTGAATAAATGAGAAACAGAAAAAGAGAGAGAGGGGAGAAGGAAGAAAGGAAGGAGGGAAGGAAGGAAGGAAGGAACGAAGGAAGGAACGAAGGAACGAAGGAAGGAAGGGAGACAGGGAGGAAAGGAGGGAGGGAGGGAGGGAGGGAGGGAAAGAAACTAATCATCAGGGTGTGAAAGGTGGATATCTGCTCTGATGAGGTCACAAGAATGCCTTATTTTACTTCTCTTACTGATTTTTCTGCACCGATCATGTTATTTTGAATAGGAAAAACATTAATAAATTGTAAAATGAAATTGTATAACCACATATAACTAAGATTCACTCAGCTACAGAAAAAAAAATTCTGACCTGACTTGAATTTTTGTTTTTGCAATGCAGTCATGATAAAAAGATCAACTGATTTGAAAATGTCATAAAATTAGATTTCTATCAATGCTTTTAGAATTGAAACAGATTTATCTAAAGAGATATTTCAGAAAGCAAAATCACTGCATCAGAATATTTGAGCTTCATAAAGAAATGCAGTCTTTAATGTTTTAGAGGCATTCATTTATAAATAATTTATATACATATAAAATTGTTTTACATTCAAAAAATTTTCAACTATGCTTTGAGAGTTTTTCATATGTACATAAATGATATAGCTACCTATAGATGGATGCATACATGATAGATAGATAGATAGATAGATAGCTATACTTTTAGTTGCTGATAGCATTTCGTGTTATGAATATAGTGCATTTTGTATATCCATTCCTCTATTGATGAAGCTCTAAGTGGTTTGCAGAATTTTACTAAGAGGTAATGTGGGTTTAGGGTTGAAAGAGCACACTTCAGCTGGATTGCCAGCCTAAGTTCAAATCCAGTCCTACCATTTACAAGCCACATAACCTTGGGCAATGTCCTCAACATTTTTGTTATGTTAGTATTTTTTTTTAATCTATAAGTGAGGATCTTAATGGTACTTACCTGCTAGAGTTGTTATGAGGATTGTATGGGGTAATATTTGTAAAGTGCTTGGAATCATGACTGGAATGTGGTAAGTGCTACATGAGTGTTTGTTAAATACAAGCCAAGAGGAACATCCTGATAAGTGCTTCCGTGTGCACAGTTGCAGGAATTTGTCTAGGATTCATATCCAGAAGTGAAATTTCTGGTTTGTAGGGTTGCAGATTTTTAATCTTATTAAATGCTGCCAAATTACACTTCAACATGTCGGAACCAATCAACATTCCCACAAGGGTGACTTTTTGTCACATATCTGACATTGTTCAATAAAACCTCCTTAATTTGACCTGATGGATGAAAATGGTATCTTTTTTGTATTAATTTACCTTTTTCTGATAAGTGATGAGAGTAAATATGTTTTATACTCTGAACATATTCATAATTTCTCTTCAGTTAGATATCTGTTCAAATTCATATTCTTTTCATGGATTCATATGGAGTGTCTTTCTTACTGATTTGAAGGAATAGTTTACATACTGCAAATACTAAGGCTTTGTTTGCTACGTTTGTTGTAATTACATTTAATTTGTTTTTCAGCTTTGTTGACAGGAAATATTGCTATATACAAGTTTTCTTTATCAAAATTTAAAATTTAAAAAGTAATATATTAGCATAGTTTAAACTTTAAGATGTACATATATAGAGTAGAAAGATACCCACTCACATATCCTTGTTGACCATTTACTTAATTCTTGCCTGACCCTCTGCCACAAGAAACAAGATGTAACCCTCCAAAGTTTCTTAATTCAAATACAAACAAGTGAAAGTATGTATTTTATTTCCATGATTTTCCCTCCCCTGCAGGGTTTCTGATACCTAGGCTGGAGTGCAGTGGTACTATCACAGCTTGCTGCAGCCTCAACCTCCCAGGCTCAAGAGATCCTTCCACCTCAGCCTCCCTAGTAGCTGAGGTCATAGGTGTGTGCCACTACACCAGGCTAATTTTCATTATTTTTTTGTTTAGAGATAGGGTTTTGCCATGTTACCCAGGCTGGTCTTGAACTCCTGGGCTCAAGCAGTCCACCCACCTCAGCTGCCCAAAGTTCTGAGATTCAGGCATGAGCCACCATGCCTGACCTATTTCCACAATTTTACATACAAAGTTGTTTGCTCTATACACTCAGTACTGCAAATTGCTTTAATTAC